CCTACATTTTTACGCCGAAATTGTTGTTCATAGGTACAATATGTACCTAGTCATTTCCATAAGCGTTTCGTTACCCCAGCCAAAAAATGTTTCAGCTTCTGTAAATGGTAATCAGGTTTTTAAATTTGATAAGTTGGTAGCTTTTGTGGTAATAAGGTAGGTACGTGTGTCCAGTGTGTCCTGAACCAACTATATGTAATGACGCGACATAAAATAATAGTTTTGTTCAGTTCTCGATCAAAATAGTTAATGCAAGGGAACCAGTTCAGTGGCTTAGTCAGCATATTTTATTCCTAGATATCCTCTTTATCATCAATATAAGAGTAGGGCACAGCGGCTTTCCCGCTGGAATTGGAGCGCCTGTCTGGGAAAGCAAATTCCACCCCACAGAAGAGAACACTGAAATAACTCTACCAGGTCTCCGCAAGTAGGCGATTGGGTCGTCAGGCCGGCATGATGAGGATGGCTGGAGCGACACACTTTCTGCCGCATCATCTATCTTCTCGACTGGACTCCACTCACACTTAGCATCAGATGAAGACGGGTAATTTGTTGCGCCGCATATAAAAAAAATGTCTTGGTCTAACCACATCACTAACAGGAATTTCAAAGTCAAATTCATCTTCCATTGCTAATAACCTCAACATGGTCTAGTGAGTCTAAATCGAATTCATTCGTAACAAAATTTAAAGGGAACGAAGTCGCGGGCCTCTATTGCCTCTATAAGGCTGTAAGGCTTCTGCAGCCCCTTGCAAACTTGCACACTAGCTTATGATTAGGCAGACATCGCACCCGTAGGATAAGATTGTGAAGACCCGGTCTACACATGACACGCTATACCAGGTACAGATACGTGGGCGTTTTCCCCGCCCCCCACGACAACGGCTAACTAGAGCCAAGGTGCGAGACTCAGAGACGCCTTCTAGTTGAGCAAACCCGTCAGGTTCAAGTGGTCTAGATGCTCCAGACGGAGAGGGGACTGCCCCCGTGGGGAGATGCCCTCACTCGCACTCGCCAATTCTCGGCTTGAGGTCCTCTTAGGATCTCACCGTCCCCAAACCCGGTGACGCTATAAAGGTCATCTGCGACCAACGTTATACACACTCAAAGCTAAATACGCCCCTGCTGCCACTAACTTTGTCGTAAGCCCTGCACATTTTAGTGACCCGCTCCTCAATTATATAAATATATGTCGTGGATTGTTGAACGGAGCGTCAAGCCGAAACCGACTTGGGTACTAGTTACTAATCAACGTTAAGTGACGTTTGAGATCTGTCACTGTGAGTGTATAAAAACGAGTAAAACGTCAGTCTTCGGTGCCCTGCATCATCTCCTTCTCAGGGGTTGATCGCATCAGATGAAGCCTGTAAGGCCTATGGCCAAAGGCATAGTAAGAGTCTGACATAACCCTACAGCCGCCCCCCTACCCCCTTATCGATTTCACCACGTTCCGATTTAATCCGTTTGCATCTGAGCAATCATAGCTAATTTTGAGCTGATTATTTGTATATACTATCTTTATTAAGCCTAGACAGTACAAACCGAGTATTATTTAAAGGATTTGTAATGGACAACGACCCGTCACCAAACGAACGTCCACGTACCACTTCTACATATAAATATATAATCTAATATATAAGTATATAATCTTAAATTGCTATTTTCTTCTTTTCAATGTTTAATACTCGTAAAGGTATTTCGTTTGACATTATTAGTTACCTACAGTGAGAAGAGATGGCGCTGCCTTGCAGTTGCTTGTTTACTGATAGCACATCCGGATTCGGATATTTTTTGTTTAGTTAGGGTGCGGAAGAGTGGAACGGACTGGCAGGATGGTCTGGAAATTGCTCGTGAGGTAGCAATAAATGAATTTGCACTAATAATATTTCAGAAGGGTTTATGTAATAAAACACTGTGAAAAAATCAATTTCATCACTTTATTTCAATGCGGAATTGAATATTTATATTTCTATATAAACAATTTAAAAATCATACCACCTTACATGCTACTTATACATTAATATGACAATATTTCAGTCGGACTCACCGTTCGTAAGATATTTATATACCTTAAAGTATAACATCCCTCATTTTAATGCTCTCTCTTTTGCATATAACTCTCACCTTGTCGCACAAATAATAAAAATAAAATATGAATAGCATTTGCAAAACAACATTTTTATCATAAAAAATGAACAAACACTATTCACTCATTTTCAAATCCCTTTTTATTTAACTGCCAATATATTAACGCCTAATTTCCAAATAAATGCAATTTAAAATCAACATACACGAGTTGTCTAGTCTTGGATCAAATGAAATCTAAATTAAACTTAACCACGTATGTGTAAAATCAATAAATATTGAAATTATTGACAAAAGGGATTTCAATTTTGAGGAAATTTCCGTTGACTGTTGTTACGCTTTCTCTGTATAAGTAAACGACATGGACGTATAAAAAAAGGCGGACAGAGTCCCGGTAAACAACAAACTGTGTCGCTCAGAGTCGGCCAGGTCGCTATATGTACAAGCCGGCACACACACATTCACACCATAGTCAGCCATTACGCGTGCAAACGTCAAAGCAGCCGATACGTTAAGTGGAGATAAAAATAAGTTAAAACAAGATGTCTTGCGTGGTAAAATGGTGTAAAAACCGTAGTGACCGAAAGAAAAAAAATCCAGGAATCACGTTTCATAGGTAAATGAACAATATAATCACTTTTTTCTAGTTTTTAGAAATCGAAATCAATTTTCATTCTAAGCACAAAATAATTAATCTAAAGTCCAGTGTTGTCAATGTTCACGTAACCATATTACCTAAAATATGGGAAATTGGGGTGACATTAGCTTCAATCTATTATTTGTTATTCTTTTTTATCAGATTCCCTAAAGAAAATGTAGAATGGAGAAATGACTGGATCCAAGTTATTAGGAATTGTAACGGAGATGATGAATGTATTCCAAATAAATATAGTGTCATTTGCAGTATCCATTTTGAAGCTGGAGACTTATATACTACTAAAAGAGGACTCCGGCGTGTTGTTACGCATGCAGTACCTCAAAAGGTAAATTAAAAATTTTAACCGACTTCAAAATGAAAGAGGTTCTATACGTCATATTTGTTATTTTTTTTTTCAATTGTTGTTCGTGCATATCTCCGAGATTCGTGGACCGATTTTGATGATTATTTTTTTGTTTGAATCAGTTTATTAGCGAGATGGTTGTATTAATTAAGTGCAGAGCTGATGAGTATTTTCGGAGGGAAACAATGGAACTCCTCAATTACAAACAGTACTCAATGCATGTTTTGTTAATTTAAGAAATATAAAAAAGAATGCAGGCCTGGCCAGGCATATTTAGGTGATTTACTCTGGCTTATGAAAAGTGGAAAATATAAACTTTTTCATACAAAAATAAAAACAGACTTCATGTTAGTTTTCCAATTACAGAGCATAATGCGACTCAGTGGCTACCAATGCCGAATTATGCTGATGATTAATTGGAACGTGAATTAGTTTTCAAATGCACCAGCAAAGTGCGCTAAGTTCAGTGTTGAAAAAAAGTGGAATATAAAAAAAGTCAATATTTGTTATATATAATAGTTTGAATTAACTTTGATTATTTAAAAAAACCTACAATGAAACAAAAGTTTTAAAATATTTTCAACGATAAATAATATTACTAACGATAATATTTAAACAAAACATTTCGATCAATGCCAACTTAAAAACAGTGCGTATGAACACAATTTTCGCCTTTCCAGTATCGATCGAAACGGTGCAGTGTGTTAAATTTTTGCCACGGGACCAACGTTCGACGCATCACCGCGGTCGTCGGTTCAAATCCCGCACTCGTGTTTTATTTTTTATTATATTTTTTTTCCATTTTTTATATATTTGTTTTAGACCCCAGCACCTGTTCTTATTTTTATTTGTCTCCCTTTTATTTAGACTTTATAATTATAATTTTTGGAATTTGGTGGTAAACTGTGGAGCATGTGGAAGTTTTTTGGCGCCGGGCAATGCTGTTGTTTGCTGTGCTTGCCCAATAAAATATCATAAGGCCTGCCTCGCCATCTATTAATATCAGAGAAAAAACTTGAATTAATATCAAAGAAAAAAAATACTGCATAAATAAATAGTATTATTGCATAAGTTGACAAATAATGCTGTGCAATAGCTTTACCGCGGCAGTCCCCGAGTGCAACACGATTTTTTTTTAAGTACACGATTTGCATACCTATTTTCTAAATACAGTGGAGCCCCGGTAATCCGGCCCCTGGCTAATGCGGCACCCCCTATAATCCGACATCGTCTATTACATACAAGTATTCGCTAATTCACGATTGAACAAGTTACAACTTGTACGCACCATCACAATTGTGCTCGACGCGTAGGGTATTGTTTTTTATATTTTTTTGTAAATTCTATAGCATTTGACGTTACTTTTATAATAAAACATAATCTTTCTATTGTGTTGTTTAATTTACTCAATTTGACAAACATAACAAAGTATGTTTTGTAATCTTATCATTGGATCTGTAATTTGTCGGATTACAAGGTACTCTTTTGTAAAAAAATTCGGACTATAGGGGGTCTTAGGCAGTACTCTATAATCCGACAAATTCGATAGTTCGACACTGCCCTGCAAAATGTTTGTCGGACTACCGGGGATCCACTGCATTCTTTTAAGACCCTTTACTTTGATACCTCGCTTGACGGGTTATAAGCATTTTTTTTCTAAAGGTTTCATTTTGGCGCCTTATTATTGGGCATACATACATGCATACACGCTCGAAAAACATTATCCACCGCAGTCGGGTAAAATTTTGAACAATTAAAATATTTTGATCTTTTTACTGTCTTTTATTGGTAAAAAATTGGCTAACCTAGCAACCCTGCATTCACTCACTCATAGATAACCGCCGCCATTACGGTGCCTCACTTTTGTCTTAGCCGAAATTCTGTCCGCCTTTTTTTATACGTCCTTGGTAAACGAATTAAATTGATTAAAAACATCAATACGTATCTCTTATAATAATACGGCTATAATTACATTTTCTTAATGGCAGTGGTTCAAAATTTCAATATCCCCTTGTCCTTCGGTGATCATTTTTGGATAAATACACTTACAAACAAAATACAAACCTAAATGCTAAACAATTTAAATCGGAAAATGTTCACCGAAAGATTTTCTAAGTACGAATAATTGATCCAATAAGACTATTTTAACCATTAAATACATCAACAGTTACACATTATTGAATTTATCATACTTTATTGGAATGTTTTCTTGAAATATTTTTACAAATTTATTATCATCTAACTATCTAATGGACTTAGCAAAAAATATACAGTGTCGTAGGTACGATGAATGGAAATATATCAAACAGTTTTATCCGATAAGCGACTGCTACAATTTATAATAAGCTTCTTACAGTGCGATGAATTAAATAAAAATTTCATTTATGGTAAAATATTTTTCTATTTCTCTGATGAATTACCATCAAAGCATTTATATCAATACTATGTATTTTATAATTCATTATTCGTTTCATTTGTTCTTGAGTTTAACAAATAGAGAGAATAAATGAAATAATAACACAGAGTATGAATAACAAAAAAATTTGGTAATAATGAAACCAAAATGATATCTGTTTTTAAATATGATTTTTAATTATATCGTATTTATAACCATTTTCTAAGCTCTTAATAAATTAATACCTTAAAATAATTCGTGATACTGAAAAAGTCAAGTACAAAACACTGAAAAATATTACGCCGTAGGCCTTTTGTCATGGTAATTAAAAATATCATCAAAATATTTAAAAATTGGAAATCAACTGCAGTCTTCCACATTTGCGAAAAAATAACTATGAATTTTAATGACGACTGTACCTTTGTATAAATTTATTTATTTATTATTGTTTTATCGCATTTTTTGTTTTTACAGTATGGAAATGCTTTTTCTATTAAAACAATCAAACTGATTAATTGAAACAGTGCATAACATTAGTTTTAACTTGGTCAATCTGTACTGATATCTATAGTTTTATCAATGTTAATAGCAATATTATTACTTATTTTTCATTATGAATATTATACAGTGTATGGTTACGTCACATTGAGAAATACCAAGTAACTGTTAGAACAACAAAGTCGTTATATTACAATTGTTGATATGCATAATTTTAAGACACCTTGTATATTCGCGTATTATAATTATACTATACTTATATGAAACGCATACTGCAGAACATTTAAGTTACAAACGCTGTAGTAGATTTCACCATATTTTTTACATATTTACAAATTAAACATAACTTAGTAACACTATTCACTTACGAATGTTTATGTATTTTTATTAATTTTTTAGGCCAATTTTAACAATGTCCAACGGGTATTTGACGTGAATAAGTATTCCTTAATATGTCTATTTATCCAGTTAAAAAAATCATGAAGAGTCCGGGTATAAAAAAACACAAAGTTAAATATTTCGTTTTGATTTTATTTTAAAATTATTTTTATACAACACTTTTGTATAAATAAAGCAGGACGAATGGCTCAAAGAATTACAATAAGTCACAACGTATTATAGTACAGTAAAAAAATACTTAGCCTAGAACTTTTAAATTATAAAGGTATATTTTAAGTCGGGATGCGAGTGTTTGCCACTACCATTTAAGTGATCATACAGTACAAATATCGATCAAGTTCAGTCCCATAGACTGGGTTTTGACTAAATGTGATCCGAGTAAAGAAAAAAACAAGTTATAAACCATAACGAGTGCAACATAAAGTTGAAAATCCATTAAACATTATTATAGGTGACCTGACGTGACTTTTACTGTACTAGCAGTAGGCATCAAAGTGACTGTTTCACGAGTCAATGCGACTGTACTTGTAAGAGATTTCACTATATCAACCTTAATTAATAATTATTCCTGTTGCAAATCTTAAGAATGTGTAAAAAAAGGTCTCATTCGTGTACCAAATATTGAACATAACGATATGTTTATTAAAACCGATAACGAAATTTGTGATGTTTTTAGCTGCCGTAACAAAATGTGATTGGCTGAGTGTTGAAATCATTTAATAAGACTACTAATAATAGCATTACTCATGACAATAATAACGCTTACTAGTTTTCTATTGATGTGCATGAAATAAAATTAATTGCATAGCTAGAAAAATTATCGAGGAATAGAATCGTTTAGCAACGAAATGGTAGTGGCTGCAGAATTATCTATTTAAAGAATATACAACAATGGCACTTAATTTAAAATATTAATAAAATAACTAGGTAGGTAAAAAAAGAAACGTTTGGTCATATAAAAAATATATAAAATCAAATAGCAAACCTCTTCAATGGTTCTCATTAAAAATGTTGTTTTCTTACACATATTTTTTTTTATTAATTTTACATAGTTACACGAGAAGTAATTTTACCGTAAGTAACTTTAATGCCTAAACAACACTTTACGTAATTCAGTCATTTTCTTAAAATGGACAAAGTGCTTTCATCCAATTGTTAATTTACATTATTATTAATAGTTGCCGTTCCTACTCAATTTTTAACCTTTCAATACAAAGTGCGATCAAATATTGAAACGTGATTTGATGCGGATTTCCATGGCATTCTCCTTCGGATTAGTTATTTAGAAAGAGAGCCGTTCTCTCTTTAATTAATATTAATACTGTCAAATACTTTTAACAAATTGACATTTTCTTTGTGTACGTTTTTAATAGGTCGTTTACGTTCTCCCTAAATCCTTAGGCCGTCATGACGTCACATATACAATCACAATAAAAAAAACATTCTTAACGTCAAGCAAAATTACTGTGACAAAAGTAAAAAAAAAAGTACCTACATATCGTCGATATTACTGTCATTGAAAAAAAAACATAAAATTAAAAAAAAAAAAAAAAATTGTAAACAGACGACAATTAAAGCGATTTTACATTGAAATAATTTTTTCGTTTAAAGTCGTTTCTTAAACTAACAAAAGTCGGACTCGCGTGACATTCATCCCTCTATAAACGCGGGCATAGTGTATATTATCACAGGCGTTATTACCATAGTTATCCGACGGTGGGGTCCTCCGGTCACAACACTAAACACATTCATTCTTAAGGCATCTTGATATATCAAGCACTGACACGGGACTTTCGCCCTTACGCAACAGTCGTTAGGGGGTGGTTTGGCTAGACAAGCCAGGCGCGATGCTAGCACCAGGATTCTTCGTGTGGGGGTCTGTCCTCGTCTGAATCGCCGTACATATCCGCCAATTTGCGGAATCTCGGCCCGAATGTTGATAGGTAGTTGAATTTTAAATCACCGTCGTCCGTACCTTTGAAATAATGAAAATAACCTTACTTCATACATTCTCTCAAATTACTTCAGCTGTCAAATTTTCTAAGATGTTTTTTTATTTATTTTTTTAAGATGTGGGTCTTTGGCTGCGGTTGGTGGCTTTAAAGTCTGTTGGAGTTTTTGTTTTTTCCGTTTTAGGTAACTTGAATTGTCTGTACTTTTACTAATAATTATTGATCCTAAAATAATGTTTACAATTTCTATGCTATGACAACCAATGCCAAGTACGCTCTGTCTTGTTACAAGTGTGTCGAATTACTGTAAAAAGTACAAGTTCAGCGTATGAAACAGCTCTGATGATTCTGGTTTTGCCCTGGTATTATTAATATCATGAACGGAAAGACATAAGATTTTTTTACTTTCTATATTAAAGAAAAAATCGAATAAAGATTATTGCTTTAAATAAAATTATGCAAGTAATATTAAATGCTTATTATTTTTATATTATAAACTTTGCAAAGTAATAATTGCCTTAATTATTAGATATTATCTGTCACAAAACTTCTAGCTATTTTTTAGGTTAAACGAATACTCACAACTGGCCAACGAGGAAAGAGAGCCGCTGGTATTGCCGTCTCCCTCGTATGCGTAATGGCGCACGTCGTCGTACGGGTTGATGTCCGGATCCCGGTCCAATACGGACTTCTTGTCGTCCAAGAAACCGGAAATGTCCGGTGCCGCACCCACCAAGCCTGTTAAGAAGAATAATATTGGATAAAATTGTCTTATAAATGCTTACCTTAATAATATTATTATCCAATAATAAGCCAAAACTCGTAAGTACGTATTATATTCAATAAGTCTTTTTCTCAGAGTCAGAAATTTAATAAGACTTGTAAGGTTTTGATCTTGTACGTGCACCACACTCACATAGCACCCTACCAGAGGTCACATACAAGGGCAATAAGCGTGTGGTATGCCCCCAATCAGAGAATCAGAGAGGAGCTCGATGGCGCAAGTGGTTAGCGCGTTCGGCTACGATCGTTGAAGTAAAGCAACTTTCGCAGTGGTCGGTCATTGGATGGGTGACCAAAAATTTATTATCTCGAGCTCCTCCGTGCTTCGGAAGGCACTTTAAGCCGTTGGGCTCGGCTGCATCTGCAGTCGTTAGCACCCGCCAATCCGCACTGGGCCCGCGTGGTGGATCATGGCCCAATCTCCCTATTCCATCCATAGGGAAGGCCTGTGTCCCAGCAGTGGGGAAATTAATAGGCTGATGATGATGATGCCCCCAATGACAGCGATAGAAGTTTGCATTCTTAGTATATCCGATCGTGACTTTCCACAGACATGGCCAATCAAATCGTGGCTTACATTTCCCGCAAGCCAACAATTTTGGCGAATTCGATTTCAGACAAAAATTGAGTAATACGGACTTTAATGGTCACACTATACCGTGTCATCTTTGCCATTGCCTTTCGTACCCTATGGTATTCTCTCTAACCTATTATCCAAGCTGAAGAAGTTGGCAACTATAAAATAAAGAACAATTGCTGCACCAGCTAACTACTGGACTCCAACGCCACTTAAAATCATTATGGTGGAGTCATTTACTTCATATAAAAAATATGGGGAAATTTACTCGGACTTTCATATAAAATGAAATAGTCAGTACGTGCATGGCTTGCTTCGTGGCAGTAATTAGTCTGTGACTCACGTAGCATACCTAAACTATTGGCCACAATTTGTCACGTTATTTAATTAGGTCTTATGTCAGGAGTTGATTGCCTAATGGTCAGTGCATTCAGTCTGCGATTGTGACAGTCCGACGATTGTACTTTCGCAATGGCCGGTCTTTGGATGGGTGGCAATTGTTTTTATTTGAGCTACTCCGTCTTCCGAAGGCGTTTTAAGCCGTTGATCCTGCAATCGTTAGCACCTATCAATACCTACAGTGCCCGCGTGGTGGGTCATGGTCCGATCTATCTTTTCATCAATAGGCAAGGCCTGTATCCCAGCAGTGGAGACAATTTTTTTCGTTCAACTTTAGCATGTCCCGTTACATGATTAATTATTAATAAAAATTCAAATCTTATTAACAAACATCTGTTCTGTGGTGGGACCTCTCCTGCCGAGGAGACATTTTTTTTTATTTTCAACTTATTAGCCAGGGCAACACAAACTAACAAAGTATACGTACCTGGTATGTAAATTAATAATAAATATGTATGGAAATATATAACACTCACACCAATTAGCCTTGCCCCAAAGTAAGCACTGTAGGCTTGTGTTATGGATACTAGGGTAATTGAATACATAATACTGATACATAATATATAAGTATATTTGTATACAAATACATATTGAACATCCATGACTGGAGTACAAATGCTCGTATTCATCACACAAACATCTGCCCCCAAGGAATCGAACCACGACCTCTCGAGTAAGCGATACCTTGAAACCCAGCATACAAACCACTCGGCCACGGAGATCGTCAAAATATTTAAAAAGTTTCACTTGTGTGGTTTCATTTTTATGACTTTGCACGGTTTGTGCTAATGCACAAATTGCTAAATAGCAATGGCGGATGTTATGATCGTTAAAAAACAATAAAAATTACATTTTTAATATGGGGACGTTAATATGCTAATGATGATAAGGAGAGAAGATTCTTACCGGGTGCATGCATAAACGCCGGATCAGTATCAGGTGGCGGTCCATCGTACATCTGCCGCAGCACGTGAAGGTCGTATCCCGCATCGCCTTCGCCACCGCCTTCGTCTTCGTACGCAATAATGTTCTCCCTGATGTCATCTAATTCCTTTTCGGCCCAAGCGTCTGCCCTGCGGCGGTGTACTACTACCGCTAATAGGAGAACTGAAAGGAGGATGGATGTTTAATGTGTGTTCTTGAAATAGGTTTTCTGGAATGACGGGTGCCAGTCAGCAGCACTGAGCCGAAAGATCTACTCGTCAGTTAATTCACCTATCTTGTCATGTGTCTTGTCTATGGATCAATTTAAATCATCGTTCGAATTGCGCGCCAGAAACTTTATACAAAAGACTTCATGGCACAGTGACGACAAACTGGAATAATACTACTGAAATCATTCTGCCGCTATTTGCGGGACGAGGAATATGCACATACTTTCGTCCAACATACTTTCGCAAAAACGAAATTGTAATTACGACACTCACGTATAAAAAGTGACAACGCTAATTCGAAACTTAACATTTTATACTGACAGATCTGAAATTTGTACTGGCGAGTCGATTGTTTTGTCAAACAAGTCCGACGATTGAATTTTAACAAAATAATATGTAGCCCGCATGGACTCACGCTGTCGGAGTAAATAAGGAACCCGCTAGTGTGACTGGTGCAAACCGGCCCGCTGGTGCGGAACCTGTTGAAAAAGCACTTCCAACTCCGGACGATGCGCTCTCAAGCAGCGAACTGACCCTACCCCGTGGCAAACGGTCGGGACAGGCCAGAAACAATCGGCAAAGAAGTCCAGCTCCAAACCAGCAAACCGAGAACGTCCCGACGTCACCATCTCACCCAGAGGGGACACCAAAAGGCCCAGGTCCAAACAGGTCCGAAAAGCTCCGCCGTGAATTACGCAGACGCATTGAAGGTCAATGACCTCTGCGTCGCCGTAATGATGGAGCCTTTCCAGGACCTAACCGAGGCACAGGCTACCAAGATCGAGGAGGACATTGAAGACGCCCTGGATGAACAGACCTACAAGCCATCCACCACGGCGACTCGTTCACCTGCTTTCCGTGGCAAAGCCTTCTGGTCGGAAGGCGTCCTCAAACTATGGTGCGAGGACGACTTTTCGCTGGAATGGCTGCGCCAAACAGTACAGAACATCCGGCCTCCCCTCTCGGGAACCGTGTTGACGGTTAAACGTCAATCCGAAATCCCTAAGAGGGTGAAGGCCTCAATCATTGTACTACGCTATAAGGACGAAAGCCCTGACCATCTAAGGCTAAGGCTGGCCGCCCAAAACCCGTGGTACAACGTAAACCAGTGGGCCCTGTACCATGCCGTGAAGACGGAGGAGAAGGAGGAGCTATTCATACTGGTAGGTATTCCCCAGGATGATGTAGCCAAACTCCTGGCAAGAGACCGATGCGTAGCCTACAAGCTCGGGTCGATCTACGGCCGTTTCTCGACGGGATCTGCCGACAAACCCACCACGACACCGAGTGAGCCACATCCACCAGCCACTACGCCGAACCTACCGAAAGTGACGGCGGCAACGACGGCAACAACACCGGCCTATAACTCGCCAACGGCCCGACAGTCCAGTACGGAGGAGGAGAGTACTGGACGTATGGACTGGTGGATTGAAGGGGAGAAGGCGAAAGAAGAGGAAGAGAGAGCGGGATGTTCGAGTCGTCAAAATGGCGTAGTGGAATAATACAACAATAAATAACAAGGACACTGGGATCACATACGAGTATCATCAATAAGTATCGTATAATATCGAAATTTCAACATGAAATAACATAAACCATAAAAGTCATTCAAGTGTTTCCGCGCGTATAAGAATCAAGTCCTCTGTGTTTTTGATTTATTCATGTGAATTTATTGTTTGTGTGTTTTATTATTGAACCCATTTCATTAATTTAATGGAACTATATAAACTTATTATGTTTATCTTTGTGATCTCTCTACCTTTTATTATCTGATTATATAAATTATAAATTATACCTGTAGTAAATATTCCATGTAAATAAAAAATATTAAAAATAAGGCCTTATATACACACTTCATTTTTCTGAAGAGGAAACCTATGCCTAATCGTATAAGTACACAATAATATTGATACATTCATTTTTAAGTGTTCTTCTTAAAGTATTTTCTGAGCTGCATTTATAACCTATAACATATTCATTTTAACCACCTGCATTTATAACCAATTGACCACAACATAAAATATCTTTCCTATTTTTTGGGTTGCAGCAGTTAGCAGCTGGCCATACGATTCTTCACACACAATAGCATCATGTCAAATTGTCAATGAATTGCCGCATTTACGGAGTTGTTGTTTTTAGACAGCGCGGTATCTAGTCGAGCAAAGCGAATCCAATGATTTATCTATGATTAAAGGATATAACTTTGCTCTCATCTAAGAAAACATATGCTCCATAAAAAACACTATATTATGCTCAGTAATAATTGGATCAAATCCAAGTGATACTCTTACTGAGGAGCTCGATCGCGCAAGTAGTCAGCGCGTTGGGCCGCGATCGTTAAAGTCAAGCAACTTCCACAGCGGTCGGTAATTGGATGGGTGACCAAAATTTCGAGCTCCTCCTTGCTTCGGAAGGCACGTCAAGCCGTTGTTTCCAGCTGCATCTGCAGTCGTTAGCACCCACCAATCGGCACTGGGCCTGCGTTGTAGTACATGGCCCAATCTCTCCCTATTCCAAACATAGGGAAGGGTACCCCAGCAGTGAGTACATTAATAGGCTGAAGATGATGATACTTACTGACTAATATTGTTATGCAAACTAATATCGCCACCAGGAAGTTGGTGTCGATTCCAAACGTGACAGCTGTGTACATGCTCTTCTGACAGCTGGGGTCCGCCTTGTGGTGTACTGACGGCTCACCCAAATTATACATCTGTTCAAAAGAAACAAAAATAAAACAAAATATTCAAACCACTTTTTAAACTTTTAAATCTGGCTCAAAATAATGGCTCCAACACAACATAATAAACAGAAATTGTAATACGATATTATAGCAGAAACACGTCCCCTTATGCCACAGGGTTCAATAATATTGAGGTCTACCAAAATTCTAAAAAGTTATTAAAAAAATCTATGAAATAAGATAAAACAAAATATTCCATTTGTATAGTAGGTTGAAAAGAATGTGGCTACAAATAATTCATTCAGATCTTCATCTTATTACAAAGTAAGCGGATGAACTGAAGCTTCTTACCTGAAAACACTAAGTAAAAGCAACATAGGCGTCTAACGTCTGAATACTGAAATGTATTTTGGTAAATAATAATTTGGTAGTTCAAAAGTTTCTAGACTCTAAGGAGGTTTAAAGTTACGAAAGCTTTCAAACTCACTCAAAACCTCTCAGTACTCAACCTTAAATAAAGTAGAATAATATTTTCACAAACTTACAGTTCAACCTTTCATTATAAGCTACCTGAAGGTTAACAGAAAAACTTACATGCGTTTATTTTTCTTTATATTTTCTTAATTAATTATCAATTAGAGCACTTATCTATGACTACAAAAACTACCTTAAATAGAACAAAATCTCATCAAAGTCGCATATCTACAAAGTTTGATTTCAAACTTTGTCCAGAAATTCCAAAACGCCTGCATTCCGCCACCCAGTGGTGTATAAAACGCCAAACACAGTTTCCGAGTTAGATAGCACAAGTCAGCTCAGTTCGAAGTTAAGCGACTTGGACATGGAACTTACAAAATCGTTGTATGTGAAATTGCTGATACACCCGACGAAATGTTGATTGCTCGGTACGTGCCCCCAACCGAATGAGCGAGCGAGATGCAAGAGGTCGATGCTGGCGCCACCTAGCTGGAGCGGTCCATTTACTGCAGACAAAACGTATTGTTAAAAAAGGCTGTTCGAGAAATTTTAAATAGTAAAAGGGCACGTAATATTGTAAAATCCAGCACATGAATACCTGTCAGTGTAAGCGGTCTTATTACAAGGTAATACTAGGATTTTTGAAATGCAAATAAATCCTCAGTTTTGCAGCAATAATATAAAAAGATTTATAATTATATATGTTATTTCCGTAAAATTTTAACCTACAAAAAACTGAATTTTAATATTACATCGTCAGATCTATCGTGCATACAAATTACGACAGTATATTCAATTCCCGTAAAGGTGCAAATTGATTATGAATAATTTTCAACTGCACACTAAAAATTCTTTCCGCTGTTATTAACGTTCTGTGGACAAACTATACTTTTTCTATGTTGGCAAGCTTTTTGCATTAAAGCAGCAACTTTTGTATTAACCTTCTGCGACTGACGTAACTCAATTTTTACAATTTTACTGACGTGGTAGTACACGAGACACCATATCAATAGCAAATATTTTTATAGAATTCAACTTTGCAGTTATTTTATTTATATTTATTAGATTATTAGACTCTATTTAATGTTAAATAAACTTTAAATAAATAAAACAATTGATATTTTCAAAATTAAACAGTGTTTATTGACTTCGCACAAATCAGTCTTCGAATCTCTACTTAAACATTAATGACATAAAAAAAAAACACAAAATCAACTATTTTTAAATTTAACATTAGATATTTTAAAAATTTATAATAGCAACAATCAGTCTATAAAATATGAGATACATTCATTGGTTGACTTCAAAATAAGACAGTTTCTAAATCACAGCTTTGTTTGACAATAATCACATAGTGGCTTGGAGCACTGAAGGCAAATTGGCTTTGAACAATTACAGCAACAATATTTAGTTTGTCTTTTTATTTTTGTTGGACAAATAGAACAAAGTTTTCTGCCACTTGGTGGAACAGACCGAACTACTGGTAGTGGAGGGGGGACATCCTTACCTAAAACCCTAGTGATAGTCATGCGCAGCTCCCTTGGCAATCTTTCGTTGTATATTCGGGTTTTCATATGATTCAACACTAAGTCTCTAGCCATATTCAGTAAAAAAGTTCCTCTCCTCATTTTATCCTCACTGTCAGCACAACTTTGATACAATACAAAGCTATTTATACCTGCTATGTCCAGCATCCTTTGAAAGATTGCCATAGGCCAACGACGTGTTTTACGGCTACAACAATAAATCGAACATTTCTTATCCACCTCATCCACTCCACCTTTTGTATGATTATAATCTGTAATCATAGCTGGTTTTCCTGTATCATTATCTGTTTCTTGAATGTGGTCAGAAGAAGAAATCAACAATACGGCTTTATTAGGTTTTGGCACATACGATAAAATCGAATAGTCTTTCGTAAAACCATACAACGAACTTTCTATCGGTCTATTTCTGTTCGGCAAGAAACAAGGTGGTATTTCAGCTTTATTCTTTTTCAGAGTGCCCAGGTATGTCAGTCCTCTTTTCAGCAATATTTCGACTAGTGGTATTGAGCTGAACCAATTGTCAGCAGTGATATTTCGGTTCGATTTTTCGACCACTTTTGCGAGTCTTAGAACCGACTGAGGTACTGCCATTTTTTTCTCTTGATCGGTTAAGCCTTTGCCATCGGAATTCTTCCCATGATATATATAAGCATTGTTATCATAGTATGTACGAGCATCTACTAATAATAATATTTTGATACCATATTTTGATGGTTTCTGAGGCATATAAATGATGAACTTACAACGCCCTCGAAATGGCAGTAACATTTCATCGATGCAGAGGTATGGTCCAGGAGTATATTGAGACTGACTGTTTGATATGAACTTCTCAAACATATCGGAGATTGGAGCAAGTGCATCATCTTTTAGACGTTCCTCTCTCGTAGTGGAGTCATCAAGTCTAAGGCAGTTGAACAAACACGAAAACCGCAATTTGGACATTACACAGCGGAATATTTCACGGCCTGTGCCATCGGTGGCAAATATTGTGCGAAGATCTGCATCGCTACATTTTAACACTGATGAATAGTACATCAAACCAATGAACGCTTTGATCTCGTTTACGTTTGTATCCCGAAGTTCGATCTTAGCAGTATTTTTGAACTTAGTACGGTAGAAACTGAGTTTCTGGTTAGTAAATCGCACCAGAGATTCTAACATTGTGGGGTCAATGAGCTTAGACCAAAGTTCCAAGTAACCTTCAAAATTAATTGTTTCAGTACGGCCTGGTAATCGAATTATATTATGAGCTGCAATGCGTGATGTCCTAGGACGCTCTTGTTTACTCCAAATGAAACCATTTTTACCTGTGTAGTGTTCTTGTGACTCATCTGGAGATCGTTGGAGTTCAACCACTGTGGCAAGTTCTTGTTGCGCTTCTACGTTTGACTCTGGATCTTCATCACATGAAATGACGTCATCTTCAAGGGATTGGATTTCTGGCTCGAAAGTCGGATCTTCACCTTCATCATCAATATCGCTAAACTCATGTTCACTTTCCTCTTCCAGCCACTTTATTATTTGATCTTCGTGACCTACAAAAGTTCCAATCGATGTTCTCTTACGAGTGGAAGAAGTACCTGGCCTAGGGTTATTACTTGAGTCAGCCATCTGAAAAACAAGGTTTTCTTGTAAATCATGAACCATTGTAGGTAATACAATTAGCTTTTCGCCGCGACTACACCCACGCGGATATAGATACTGTTTCGCCATAAAGCCTATGTTACTCAGTGATAAGAATAATATAACATTCTATTAGTGAAAAAGTTTTTAACTCTGGCCAGTACTTTTTGCGTTTATTCGTTACAAAGAATAAGACAAATCTATCATCTTTATAATATTAGTATTGTAAATTATGTATATAACATCAAATTCTAAAATAACGAAATACATAATACGGAAAATACCTTATCTTAACATAAAGTAAACTTATTTACTGATGTGGTTGTTTAGGAGACACTATGAAAATATAACTATTTTACTGAGGTGGTAGTATAGTAGACACTTACCGTAACACTGATGTGGTAGTCTTGTGGACACCTTCCGCTCGCTACGCACACATGCGGTTGCTACGACCACTCCCGGCACACTAACCGACGCGCAAACTCACTACAGTAAGGTACTGAGAGCTGCGGCGCTTAAATTTCAAAATGAACGGTAATAAACCGAATTTTATATTTCGCGGTGTCTGTTGGACTACACGTCAGTCGCAGAGGGTTAAACAGCTGGAAATTCTATTTTATCGACAGTTTGTGCAGTAAATTGAATTTAGCCTTTTAGTGGTTTTAGCAAAAACATAAAATGTGACTTATGAGTCTTGTGATACGAGCGTGCGCAAAATTTTGTGCAAACTTGCTGTTTATGGTAGTCGGTCAGGTAAAATTTACTAATATGAAAGTTGAGCAGTAAAATAAGCTTCACTTTAAATTCCAACTAAGCTTTGGAATTAGTTAAGTACTTACTACAGATAAATTTAATGACCGAAAAGTTCTAATTCCAAAGTTTCTGTACTATGATGTGGAGTGTTTAAACCAGCGTGACTGCGTATTCCATAGCGTTTAGGCAGAATATGATAGGAATAATACTGAACTAATCAAACATTTTACGACTTAATAACACAACTCGCGAACAAAAAGTTTGTACTTGTCAACAAATATAATAAACTTGTTTACTTACACCAATTGGTTTTTATTTATCTAGCTAAATAGGTTCATTATATAAAACAGAAGAAGCTTATTGCTTCTTTTAAAATAAGATTATTTTTAAAATAATAAACTTACCGTTCAATATTTCCCTCGGTCCTGTTGGCGCAGCTAAGCTCATACAAGTGGACAGTTTACACCTGTCCACGAACATCTCGATGGAACTCCTCATGAGGACTATTTCTATCAAGTGCGGTTTCCCATCGGCCACGTGGACCACGCTGTTGTTGAGCCGGGTGGTGCCCGACCCGTAGTTCACCAGCAGAACCGGGAAGCCGTCCACCAACTCGAGCGACATGAAGTCTGGTGACAAAGATATTACATCAATGATATTGTCACAAACGCTCTCGAAACAAAACCGCGAAAACACTAGAGACAGATTTTATCAGAACACCGCGGGTCGCGATGGAATGTTCGCAATAAAGGTCGAGTGGTGCGACTCATTCTAATATGAGCCTTCTGCAGTGCGATGTAAGGGAGAAAGTGCAACGACATCTGCACTTGTTTACAACTTATGCGCGTTACCTACGTATAAGTAGGTACTACGCACTCGCAGGGGCTAGTTAATTCTCCATTTAATGGGACTTTTCTAGAATGTGTCGATTGGCGTATACAAGCGCGATCGGTGCCGCACAGCAAACAGTTGAGTTTCAACATCGATCTCGGAACGAATACAAAGGCGATCAAAGTGCAAATAAGTTTAAAGACTTGTATAGTGAATTACAGTGTTTCAGTGAGTGTATGGTGATTAACATTGTGTGTTAATTATGTGAACTGTGTGGTGAATAAAGTACTGTCAAACGTGAACTGGCATATAATTTCGAACCCCATCCCTACACGTAACAATATTGTTTAAAAGCAGATATGACATAAGCGCGCACGCTGCGAAGACTCCCAAACAGGCCAATTAGAGTCTTGACGACTTATAAATAAATGTTACTCTATGCACAAGAAAACATTAACAGATTTTACACGCAATTACTAAGAACACAAATAGATTAGGTACTTTTTTATTTTTATAAAAAGTATTAGTATCAATATCGTAGTAGTAGTATCAATATATAATTTTCCTTCTCGTTCTTCTTCTTCATTATTTAGCTTGTTTTATTTGTGTGACAAGTAGCGGCAGAACTGTTTTTAGCATGTGCCTCTTATATCAAATAAAAAAGTTTAAATGGAGCGCTGCGAATGAAAAATGTAGCAACGCTTTAAAAATTAGGCCCTACCGTGTACGTACACAAATACACGCACGCAGGTACAACGAAACTAAGCCCATCAAGACTAAGTTAAAACAGGGGATCCCCCCAGACATCTGTCAAATAAACAGCTAGTGCTGCCATAAGTGATAAAACAACTATATGGACGCTCCCTAATAATCAAAGGAGACGGTTCAAATTTGTATGAAGGGTGGTAGTGGTCTTAGGGAGACTTTTTAAGACATGTAGTGACATGTCATAAAAATTTAGAGTACACTACACTAAATTGTTTATCGTTTGACATAAAAGCAGAATTTATTTTATATAACCATTTATATATCAACAGTTTATATAAAAATACCTATATCAACCAATATGGGTAAATTAATTCAAGAAGAATCAATCATAAATTGTTTTTTTTTACCGAATACACATTTCACGAATATCAAACATGACTGGGCTGATCGACATTTCACTTAGTGATTGAGTTAACATTATAAGCTTCCACAGATTAAAAATATGACGTGACTTATGACTGTGTGGCCAGAATCCCTACGAAATTATTCAATTTTCAAAGACAATATAAAAAAAATCTGTTCATGTTATTATATAAAAAAAGCTTTTATATGATATATGTTTCATCGCTGCTGGAAACCGACTACCACATTTGGACCGTCTCGTTCACTTAGTTCATCTGTAGTTATAAGATATTTAGAATACGAAACCATTGTCACCAATGTACTAGCATCCGGCGATATATGCCCGGTTCTACACAACTTTTATTGTAATTTCGTACCAAGTTACCTAAGATTCAACAACACAGCAACACTATATGATTTAAGTACGTGAAAAACTAAATAACATAATAATAATATGGCCCAAGCCGACCAGCGGGGGAGGCCGTTCCTTTTCACGCGCGATTTCCTATCGCGCGAAATAATATCTACCTATGCATTTAGTACAGCTATAACTCTTTTACATTTCTTGCACGTTTACGCTGTTTCAGCATTATATTTAACCGCTAAGTGTACGTTACCGGCTGAAAATACATGCAATGGCGGTATTTTGAATAATTTCTACATAGCCGTAACTCATTTGGGATAGCTTTTTTACGACGAGCGCACACTAAATTTTGTATAATTTTGCGGCTATCATAAGTTGATTTTTTCATTTCATGATTATGATTATTACCTATCATTCGTTTAAAAATATTATTGTAACATTTTTAAGGACTTCATTCCTCCTATTCGACCTCTTTTCTTCTTTTTTTGCCGACATCCTTGGCTCGAGTGGCATAAACGCTGGTTTTCATGGTCTTGTCTACTCAAAGGACCTCTAAGGATTCGAATCCCGATGCGGCAAATGTTTTCGTGATGAATACGAACATTTGTACCTATAAGCTACGCAAGTTTATATGTATTTTCAATCAAAATACCAGTTTATCAGTCTATGTATACTTTCCGTTACCCTAGTATCCATAACACAAGCCGTACAGTACTTTCTTTGGGTGCGTGTTAAAAAAGTATCCAGGAAAAAAAAAACAGAAAAATATAACTATGATTAAAGATGGTTATCCAATAAAAGCCGTAGAAACAAAGTTAAACAACGTTTATATTAGCACTACGTTATAGATATCTATAAAAAATTACTACGTATTACACTACGTTATAGTGACTGTGTAATCAATTACGGTTCACAAACTTGACAATATATCAGTATCAGTGTACAGACACAACATGGTATCCACTCAAATATTTAATTCACGCTCTTTCATCGTACGCTCGCTCGTCCAGTGACATTCATCATTCGTTATCATTACCACTGACATTAGCAACAAACGGACGGAGCTTTCCTCCTTTATATTACAAGGAATAATCTATAACGCGAACACTCGTACTATCACGCAAGGGTTGATTCATTAATCATAACGGTACATGCCTGTCTGTCATTATTGATCATTAAAAAATCATTAAACCGTAACATTTGAAACGAGGCCCCGCGTCGAATGCATGCCGACAGCGGCGGTCGTCATCGTACCTGCGAGGTTCCTTTACACGTAAGAAAGCGTTCCTTTACACGTAAGAAAACGATCCTTTACACGACATAAGCTCTATTTGATGAGGATGAATATTCTAGGAAGTTGACGTTTTCCATGACATTAGGGAACGAACGCAGCGTTAATATGGAAGCTTTAAAACCTACCCTGTGAAGAATGAAAAATGTTCTTTTAGTGTAGATATAAGAAATCGCAGAGATAAGTATCAGTTAATTAGGTTTGAAGAGTTTTAGAGCTACAGGAAATTATTCTTTAAAATCGAAGCCAATTCTGCTTTTTTCTAAGATATATACTACGTAATAATTTCGATATAATTTTAATTTTAACGTACAAGTATACTTCTATATAAATACTACTAAACCTTATTGGTACGCGAGGCAGACAAAGAAAATAAGGTCTTATTTTCATTGACCTGACCAAATAAATAAATCGACGTATTTATTGGTCGTGATATCATAAATAACAATGTGTCGCATATTTTATTTTCAAACATACATACATACAACATACATACAGTTTAAGCAAACTTTGAAGATTAGTCACTTTTTAAAGCATTAGGGTGTGTAGCTACCCTCATGAGGTAGACTGCCCAAATAATGTAACAATGGGAAAGATATAAGGACTTTCGTTTTATTTGACATCCACAAGAAGATTAGCATTCTTCATAGTGAATAGAATAACAATAAGAAGAAATATGGCGCCGCTGAAAATTTTTCAAAGCCAAAGAAAACTGAGCCATAGGAGTTACAGCGAAATGCGTATTGTGCCACCATCGGGAAATCATTATTCAAGTTGTTACGCCAATCCATCGCGACGTGTTCATTGTTACGAGAAACATTGTTATATTTCACTCCGAGTCGAACAGTTAGTTCGTAATAAACTCACTTGACGAATGCTTTTATTGAGCCCAAGTTTTAGTTAGCATAACTTGTAACAAGGCACTCTTAGTTGGTTAAGTTGTCTGTAAAATTTAAAGCTCTTTTGTAATGTGTTTTTATAAAGCAGTTAAATCATTATTAATTTTTTTATATTGAAATTTCTACTTAAATGAATTCACCTTATAGGAACCGATTTTACCACAATTACTTATAAAATTTCCGGGCGTCCCGCGACTAGATGGAGCGACTACATTGGAAAAGTAGTGGGCAATGACTGGATGAAGACAGCTTAAGACCGACCTCAATGGCTTGCAGGCCTATGTCCGTGGACTGATGCGTGCTGATGATGATGGTGATAAGATTTCCAGACTTCCAGTCAAAGCAAACAATATAAAAGGAAAAAATTCCACGCGGACCAGGCAGCAGACGGGATTCGAACCCGCACCCTTTGCAATCCGGGCGAATGCACTGACTAATTATGCTACCGCGGCCCTCACGGACCGCGTCGAAATTCCTCTAGCCATTCTTAAGCTACAAGGCAGCGCAATCTCTTCGCATTATAGGTAACCCACAATGTCAAATGAATACTTTTACAAGTATTAAACATTTGAAAGAAGAAATAGCAATTATAGTTATTGAATTATAAATAGACTAGCTGACCCAGCGAACTTCGTACCGCCCTAAAAAAATAGGGGTTGTCCAGCGGACAAAATTGTGAATCTAAACCATTCTCAGATCCCCTTGAACACACACAAAAAATTTCATCAAAATCGGTCCAGTCGTTTAAGAGAAGTTCAGTGACATACACACTCACAGAAGAATTATATATATAAAGATATAAAAGGAACTATAATAATCACACTAATATTATAAAGGCAAAAGATTGTGAGTGTGTATGTTTGTTACTTTTTCACGTCTAAACGGCTAGAACGATTTTAATAAAATACGGTATGGAGTTAGTTGACAACCAGGATTAACACTTAAGCTACGTTTTACTGCGGGTATATAAATATCCCTAATAAATCGCGGGTAACACCGCGGGGCACAGATAGTAAGGGATAAAGTCGTGTAAGAAACCACACAATCCTCAGCTAACGACACTTCCCGACACAAAAAGCAAAAGGAGCAAGCCTAAAAGCTACCGAATGCATACAAATTAAGATTTTAATGGCGCCGGGGTAAGGCTTAAACTTGGCCGCTTAACGTGTTTAATGGCAAAGGAATCAGTCGCATTCTGCGCGGTTGCGCTAGCGAGGAAGTTGACAGAAATTAGCCCATTCCTGTGTTACTTTATTTAATGTAGAGTCTCCACTTAACTGGATTGCCAATTTGGCAGTGGTCGAAGAAATGTTTACGTTTCGCGGTAAAAATACAGTGCCAATGTGGAAACTATTTTTTTTTGGTTCGCTTCGTTGTCCGCTTTGTAGATTTAAGAGGACGTGTTCCGTTTGTTCGGCTGCTAAAAACTTAAGTAACTTATGAAATTAGAAAAAAGAATTTGGAAGTTTTCCTTTTTTTTGTAAGAGAAGAACAGGGGTGATTTTTTTTGCCGAGCTCAATCTAATGTCTATGCTTTAGCAAAGTTCATCACGTAACAGTTGTAAGGATAACGGCTGATAATATAAATGTCCCTAAGTAACCACTGCAAATTTTAATAATCAAACAAACTTCCCCAAAATATAATCCAATAAACTAAATGTTTTTGATAGACAGTGATTATCTGTAATCTTAGCACGAACCAGTATCGAATTCGTATAGATCAATGAGATCTCGATAAACGTCAATGTCAAGAAATTTTGTACAGAAGATTTTTGAAGTGGAACTTCTTTAGGCTTGGGAGCGTTACTAAAAGTGTGTTAGGGCGAGGCGAACGGGAGTTGAGTGGGGGACATAAGCAAGAAAAAGCAGTGCGCACGCACATTTTCTTTCTCTTATAGCTAGTAAATGAAATATGTATATATCCATATTTATATTCTACCATATATATAGGTATATATATATATATATATATATATTCGTATGAATATAAATATGGATATATACAATGACATCTGTATAGATGGATCTAATGAAGATTCACTTCAGTCGTGTGGTCATAAGCATACTCGTTTTTTTCATTCTCGTTACGTCCGTTGTGCGCTGTTTAAATATCCATTCGAAACTTGATGACATTTGATGCGTATCGAGATCGAATTCAACTATTCGAATTCGATATTGGTTCGTACAAAGGGTAGATGACTGCGATATTAAAGTGTTTTTACTCGACATTCAAATATATTAATGTCATCGCACCTTTGCAAACGAACAAGGGACATCTTAGTTACATTTTTGGATTTTTTTAAGCATTTAACTGCTAGATTTCCGTCCCGTCTGCTCCCGGTCCGCATGGAATTTTTTCTAGTAAATTTTTCTTTAGATTTAAGGGAAATCTTTATAATAAATAAACTTATTAAGTACTCATTTGAGCGATACACTTACGATACACTGTCATATATGTAAACGATACCTATATTATTATTACTCGGGCATCCTGTACATCCTGGCCCAAAAACATCACTTACACGCAGTTTTAGCGTGTTCTCGCCAAGTGGCTCGTTAACATTTTAACAAATGATTTATAGCTTTACGCTAAACGTGATACCGTTCACTTTTCCTTGGGCTCTAAAAGCTTCATTGTCCATAGTGATTTATGCTTTCCTTACAATACTGGCCGAATGGTTCCGTAAGCGTTAGTAATTTTGTCTGCCTGAGATTTGGTTCAATTTATTGGTACCGTTTTGTACAGGATTTTAACAATTTTACTTTTAACAATTTTTTCAGAAATGAGAACATCGAGTCCCCTTAAAAAGACATATTGCAAGTTATCATTCCATTTGTAATTAGTAATACTGATAGACAATATACATAAACTTTTTTTTAAATATAATTGGCTTTAAACTCAGACGAGCAAAGTCGTGAGCATAGATAGTATAGAATTAAGGCAATACTTACAAAGAATACTATTTCAAATACTAGCACTTCACCTGGCTATTTGTGTTTTCCTAGGCTTTCACGACAAACGACGAGACTGGTGTCAAATTATCATTTCTTTAATCTATAATAGGTACCTATTTAAGCTGATACTTTGTTTGTTTAAACGCGCTATTATCAAGAACTACTGATCCAATTCGATAAGGGTTTTTTGTGTTGGTTATCCAATTTATCGAGGAAGGCTATATACTGTATAATATAGACCAGAGCATAGCCAGTTCATTGATATAATGGAAACAGGCCAAAAGAACTCACCTTGTACATCCAAAAGCGGGTTGTGTTTCAAAGGTCCCAGGTAGAACACAAGGCTGTTGCTGGTATGTGACGTCACTGTTAGAGTAACGTGACCTTCATGACAGGCAGGCGGTGATTGGTACATGGCCCAGCCTTCACCGTGGAACCCTATTGAGGTCTGCTCGCAGCGAGGTCCCGAGAGGCCTTCGGGGCATTCGCATTTGTCCGCGAATGGGGTTCCTAGTGCGAAAAACAGTATATAAGAGATGCAGGTAATACGTATAATCATTGTACGCTTTGATTATTATGTACATGCCTAGATAGAGCCATCCTAGAGTAGCTCGATGGCGCGGGTGGCAACTTTCGCAGTGGTCTGTCATTGGATGGGTGACCAAAAATCTTTTATCCCGAGTTCCTCCGTGCTTCGTTAAGCCGTTGGTCGCGGCTGCATCTGCAGTCGTTAGCACCCGCCAATCCGCAATGGGTCCGCGTGGTGGGTCATGGCCCAATCTCCCTATTCCATCCATAGGGAAGGCCTGTGCCTCAACAGTGGGGACATTAATAGGATGATGATGATGATAGCGCCATCCAAATAAACCACGCAAAGCAAACGGCTCATGTTAGACGTAATGTGTGCGTGACTCTAATGTCAGATTGATTGAAAGTAGTCCATGTGTGCGTGTGTAGCAACGAGCATATCTACCATAAGTAGTAGATATTTTTGGACCGCTTCCATGCATTTAATACAGTATCTAGCCGCAGCACCTTAAAACACTCTGGAATTCGTGTAATGGTCGATATATTTTTCATTAATTACCTATTTTTATTTTGTTATTTTCTAAAACGCGGGAATATTTCCTTTAAATCAAGATCAGGTTTGATTGGATCGCTCCAGTTAAGCAATAGCTACATACTATATAGGTATTCATATTTCAGCATCCTAAGAAATAATATAATATGAAAGAAAACAAAAACAATGAATAGATCTAAAAAAAAATACTAGAAATAATTCTAACTATGCGTTACCTACAATGCGAAGAGATGGCGTTGCCTTGCAGCTTAAGAAAGGCTAGTAAGAATTCGACACGGCCATCGGGGCCGCGATAGCATAATTGGTCAGTGCATTCGTCCGGATAGCGAAGGGTGCGGGTTTGAGTCCCGTCTGCTTCCTGGTCCGCGGGAAATTCATTCTAGCAATATTTTCTTTAGATTTAAACATCGAATAGTTAAATGCTTCAAAAATTAAAATTATAACAACAATGAATAGATTTAACAGTGGCTAATAATTCAACCCTAGTACTAATAAAGAGTTTTAGCAACATCATAACCGATTTTACGTTTAAATTAATTAGAAACGGGGTATAAGTTAAAGGAACAAACAAAATGTTATCTTTAGTCATATCCTAACAATACACATACTGAAACGATATACAGCATGTAAATAAAGATTACACGGGATAAGCGGCCATCTCCCTTATTAAAGCTCTTAGACAATAACTGCAAGAAATTGTACGTACAGTTATCGCTAAAGTTCCAGGCGTAACATTTGCATAGGAGAGATATGCTCCAACTTAGCGAATAGCGACCTTTACCTGTAACTTTTGAGTCGTTAACATTATTAAACGCTTCCGTACACAGATTAGCCGTTCCGTATTTATAAATAGCTGCTGTTATTAGCCTCTCTCAAAATATTTACTGCTAAGAAAATCATTATAATGTTAATACGCTCGCTCCGAGTCAACAACCGCCACGTTTTAAGCGTTTAACATTACTGAATATCGTGATTGATTACATGAGATTTTGTACACAGCAAAAATTGTAAGAATTTCTTAGTAATGAGGTTTACATTATCACCTAATTAATATATCATCTAAATAAACAAAAAAATATTAACTGAGTATTTGAAAACTCTTTTTATGAGTAATGTCACATTATTATCCTTAAATCGATTTGATAAAACAAATTAATGAAATACATTTATTAGTCCTGTATTAGTTTAGTTTACTTTTGCAGACATATACGACACAGCAAACTGTAAATACTCTTAATGTATATCCATCCAATATAGTATCCAAAAAGCTTACCTCCGTTTAAGCAAATCAATGGTTCTTCAATATCACATGTGCATTCGGATTCCACTCTCGCTGAGACGCCGACGAAGCTCGTGGTGTTGGTGTAGACAGACAGAGGGACATTATTTTTCATGAGGACATTGCGACAGGAGTCTTCGCATTGCTCCTTTTCTATCAGGCATTCGTCAATCTTCACCATGTAAATCTTAGCATCGAGTTCGTTTTCCAACTGCGAGAAAAGGTGAAGCAATAATGTTATATTTTATTTCGTCTTAATTTTATTGAATATTAAGTTTTCAATTGTGTAGCGTCGTAAATTTAGTAAGTTACTCCACAATTTATAAAATTAACAGGTTAAAATAGAAAATAAATATTAACATTTAGATATTAAATTAAAACTACACTAAAACTAGACAAAAAAATAAAACTATGTTATGATATAAAAAATAGCTGCCCTAAGTCTTCCCCGTTGGCAAAGGTTCCCAGTTCCCATGCTAGCGGTATTTTCCCGCTGAATTTTATTGAATATGATTATAGCTAAAATAGCATTCTTTCTCATTTCGTTTGTTGTACAAACGAAGCAAGACCATTTGTTCCCTTTAGGGAATCGAAATTAAGATCAACTCCTTGTCAGCAATGTCAAGCCCAGCAAAAAAGTTGTATAGAAGAAAAAGTAATCTTTTTTAGCATGATTGATAAGGAATGTTACATAAAGAATAGATATATACACATAGAATAATAAATAATAAATTGGTAAAGTGTTTCCATTAGTAATAAAAACGTGTAAGTATGCATTAATATGAATTGATGTGTGACTTCACTTGAATTGGAAGAAAATTAATATACAGCAGTACAATGCTAGTATTAGAACAAACTAACTATCCGCATTGTGGTTTGAAATTAAAATACGAATTTTAAATCACACACACTATAGCACTGCAGATCGAATATATCGTGAGATAAGACAAAGAGGCAGTGTAGATATTTTTAATTTTGTTCGAAGTTTCCCCCTAGTGATTTCCATTACGAATTTCAAACAAAAAGTACATAGAAATATTTAAGAAGCTATTAGACTGTTTCTGGGAAACTTCCCATCCATATATTGAGGCGAAACAATATTTCAGGTAATAATTTTCTATTTTCCCCAAAATCTTCGCAAATTTAGAAACATTAACCACATGTTGAAACCTATTAACGCTGCCGCGAACACTTAACTGGGGATTTCTGAAATTCATCACACTACCGCAAACCGACGTCACATTATTCTTGCCTGCCTTTTCCACGTCTCGTGGTTTCAATCTCTTAAACAAAACAGGTCTGCACAAGTGAACTTATTTAACGCAGCATAAAATATTACAGACTTCCAATTTCACAGACAAGAAATAAAGATTAGTATCTCTTTCTTCATTAGAAACTCCGGAAGTACATAAGTTTTAGAATACCTGAATATCATTATTCTGTCCTTATAGCGAGTGAATGCTAAGTTGTGGATCAGAAAAAATTAAGCCGACGAAGAACTTTGAAGAATAAATTCAAATAAGATATAATAATATTTAAAAAAAACGAGCGAGCCTTACAGTAGTCGCATATGGTGTGTAACATTTGAAACCTCACCTTATATTAAAACCAAAAAGAAATAAAACCTACTGCAAAAGGAAAAAGCCATTTGAACATTATGCCTACTAAAGAAAGAAATAAAACCTATTAACAGCCATTTGAACATTATGTTCTAAAATCAAAACAAATAGCGCGCGCTTTCGCGACTTCCTGTTACTCACTTCCGTCCCATCACGTCACGAAATCACTCCCACAAATTGCAGGAAAGCGAGGGGAAAGATGTTACACATAAAAAAAATACTACGATTTTTTTGATGGGATTCGAATCGGAAACTTGGACCGAGTGGTTTTTTTTATTTAAACATCTAGCAGTTACATTTTTAAAAACAAAAAATTAATGTTGCTCTTAAAACTCTTTGGTCCGTTAACCCTTCTTTAAACGATGGAAACACTACCGACCTTTTCTTGGATTCCTATGACCATGCTGTCCAGCTTCTCTGGGGGGTAGTATGGTGATCCGTGGGCAGAAAACCTCACATCCAAATAAACATCTTTCACGGTCGGCTTGCCGAATACTGTGAAGACGTCCACATTGTCCATGGACGTGTTGTATAATTCGGAGAGGCGACGATGAAGTTTGTCTTTCTTGCTTGTACCCTAAGAAGAGATGGCAAAATGTAAAAAATCATATCCTACTAATATAATAAATGAGGAGCTGATGAACAAAACGGTATAATTACACATCTAGTCAAATTACTTTTTTTTTTACAGTCCGAAGGTTTCGGGCCTGTTGAATTTGAATCTCAAATAATTTTCAATCAAAACCGCCTGAAACAGTGTCAAAATGACTAACTATACACCATGCCAAAAGCTCACTGGAGGTATGTCATTCAGTTTTATACAGCTCCTGTAAAATTTAATTATATGTTATTATACCGTTTTGTTCGCCAGCTCCTCAAATGTGAAAGTATGTGTTATATCATGTTCCAAAGCCGTAATAGTTTTAAGAAGAATGTCGAACTGTCAAACGCACTTCCTTCCTGTATGACACTCTTTTGCATTTTGGACGTGAATAAAACAACACCAACTGGATGACTGGAGTTTTATTGAATTACCACAAGGCCACAAAAAGACAGTATGTATGTTTGTTATTGAATCACGCAAAATCTACTGAACCGGTTTGGACGAAAGTTGGTATCGCATATATACTTCCGGCCACATTTATCGGCCCACTTAGTGTTATTAGTGCAAATTTATATGTCAATGGTTGAGCAACAACTTTAAAAACATACGAAAAGATGGTTAATAAATCAGCTTCAAAACTGCGTAGGTAATAAGTTTTTGCTCAATGTAACATTTATTTTGAGGGACCATTAAAACTTAAAATGCTAGGTGGGCCGATAGATGTGTCCGGAAGTGTAGTTTATGACCTGGATTAAGGCATAGAATACTTTTAATCCGGCAAAAATGTTAGGTTCTTGTGGGATTCTCATAAAAACTAAAGTTAACGCGGACGAAGTCGCGGGCGGCCGTTGGTGCATAATAAATGCAAGACTTTGTGTGGATTTATGAATAAAACTTATTTATTCCAGCGTAAATTTTATGGCGAGCTATTTTAATTTTGTGCCTTGGGTCACTGAAGAAATGACGATTGAGCCAGCTACTAACTTTTCGAACAGACAACTAAAGTTTATCAACTGGTTGACAAACTGATGCTTCAGAGATTATTGTAGATGAATAGCTGTCAATCTGTCATTTAAGGTATGAAAGGCGCTTTCAATGTCGAACTAACAATGAGTCCTCCTTTTCATTCTATATAGAGAATGCCAAGGATACACTGTAATTAAATTCAGTTTAAGGTTTAGAGAATCATACTAGTATTGACACCAATATCTGTCGAAAGGGCAACAGCTGTTTAAAAATTAAGTATCTATAACAAAATAAGTGCTTACATCCGCCTCTGGCACAATGAACTCCTCAGCCGTGATGTTTACGAAGCGTATGGATCCAGATTTATCTACTGCTTCTTCTGGAATCTCTTTGACTGTAACATTGACAGTCGCTTCCACCCAATGGAAAGGTACTATAGGCTCGTTTTTTTCTGTCACCTGTAAAAAATACATTTTGAATGTCTTATGTAACTCCTATCTCAGTCTAGGAGTGAAAGGATGATATAAAATACGGAATATAACCAACAATAAGTAACGGGCGAATAAAAATCAGAACTCAGAGATTTTTTTTTTTTGAGTGTGTATGCTGTTGGTCGCAGATGACCTTTACAGCGTCACCGGGTTTGGGGACGGCGAGATCCTAAGGGGATCTCAAGCCGAGAATTGGCTATTGCCCCTAGAGGTATTCCAGGTGGATGGCATCTCACCACGGGGGACTCCCCCCCTCTCCGTCGGGAGCCTCTAGACCACTCGAACCTGAGGGGGTCTCGGGCAAAATACTTTGGTAAACATTTTAAGGGCAAACCGGCAACCTGTCTTTAATGTTTCCGGATATTATTTGGAAACGTAATTATGAATGTACTTTAGAGGAGTATAATTTGCTATAAATTTAATATATACATAAAAGACTTGTAACGTCACGTTCATGAGTATCCGATGTTGCGTTAAATATAAAATCTTCAAGATCCCGCAAGGTTGAATCCATAATTCCCTTTTTAATGGTAGAATTAATTTTATTTACGTAACTTTAATTCTCTTAAGGGTGCTTTCAGTTTAGCGACAACTTCATTCAACGAGATAGCGTATCATCATATATTTTAAACAATGTGCCCATAACTTGAACGCTTGCCTAAACGTACTTCTTGCGGAGTGATCACTCAAAACGATGGGTCATTCACACGAGTTATGCGTATAGCCAAAAGGCACATCTTTACAAGCCTACGCTTCTTCAATAAAGTTTATACGCGCTGAGCAAATGCTTATCTGAATACCCCCTTAATAATAGTTTGTATATATTATACATTGTTTAGCTTATTAGGTAAGCTAAACAATGTTTCGCACTTTTCATGTTTCATTGCATTCAAAAAGTATATATTGAAGTAATAAGACATATGAAGAGCGAAATGTTGCAGACACAAAAGCATATTGTTACCTATATGGATGGATATGGTGACTGTACTTGAGAAATTATCCATTTAATGTTGGAAAAGATCCAAAACATATATTAGAAGAGCAACTGCAAAAGCTTTTCCATTGTATAAATGTTATTTTTTAAACTGTGTTTGCAACCGTATTTCACATCAACGAGAACATATCTTAGCTTTATTACCAGCTTTTTTGCTATATATTATTATCTTTTTCCGGTCTTGGTCTTTCTACTGATACAGATAAAAATGTGCCTATTTGTTACTGAACTAAAATGTATTGATTTTAAAGAAAATATAACTAGAAAAAAATCCACGCGGACCAGGCAGCAGACGGGACTCGAAACCGCACCCTTCGCAATCCGAACGAATGCACTGACCAATTTATGCTACCGTGGCCCTCACGGACCCCGTCGAAATTCCTCTAGCCATTCTTAAGCTGCAAGGCAGCGCCATCTCCACTGTAAAAATCCACTGTAGCCTAATAATCTGACTTTGCGATACCGGAGTATCATTGACGCATTGCCTTCCCAACCACATTCCCTGAAACCTTATTGCAGCACTTTTATTCATATAGTTGACTTTCGATATAACGTCATGGTTATCTGCTCGTCCATTCTACTGTTAATTACAAATTTATTAATGCAGAGTAGAACACGACACGGCGAATTTCACAATACTTCCTATATCAATGCTAAGAGTATATCCTCAGGAATATAATACAACAGATAAGTGTTACTTCGGCTGGGTTTCTTTCGTCTGTTCCGAGAGGTCAGATGAGGTTACTTCAAAGATATATAGGAAAATAAGTAACTAAAATAAATTAAACATTAATGAAATGAATACAGCCATTAGACGCACTTCAGTTCAACTGAAATGTCTGCTTTAGGTTAGGTTAGGTTACTACTTACATTAAACTTCAGCAAATAGGTGCCGTTAGGTGTTCCCTCCTTCATCGTGATCATGCCAGTATTGCTGTGCACGTCGAAGTATGGACTCCTCTGCTCGTACGAAGGTAGCCACATGAACCGCTTGTCCGGCAGGTCCCAATCGTCCGGGTCGGTGACGTACACACGTCCGATCTCCGTGTCCGGTGCTTCGCCCTGGGGGAAATTGCAAGATCATTATTAGTTTCAATGTGTTACAGACTGGCTAAGAAGTCAGTCTTGTCTGTAAACTGTCATTTTTCTATAATAATAAATTTAAATTTCAAAATATGACAGTCTAGTGAAAATTTTTGACAATCAGTGTGGACATTGTAATGTGCAAAAATGAAATAAACAAATCTAATAAATAACTTAATAAAAAACAAGTGTGAAGTAAAGTGTTCAGTGTACCTAGTGACGTTCTCAGTCTTCATATACCATCGAGTTGAACCACGCTCTGCTGCTTAAACGTGAGTACTATAACAATCACACAATGACGGGGTACCGGACTTTTCTATGGGCAGGCTTTTGTACCGCATAAAGAGAATGGGCTACTAAGGGTGTGGTGGGTGTTAAAGACTGCACAGACAGAGATCCAAGCACGTATTTTGACGTCTCGCATTGTCAAAGTTTCTATGAAAACAAAGCAGCACCCCAGACGTAAGAACAGTACCCCTAGCACGAACCATTATCGAATTCGAATATGTAGTTTGCAAACCGAAATGTCAATGTCAAATTTTGTATTTAAACTTGAATAGCAGCGGCACAAAGTACGTAACGAGAACTAAAAATCAGTACACATTTGACAATGACATTTCGGACTCGCAAACGATACGAGTTCGATATTGGTTCGAGCTAGGGGTACAGATTGGCTTCTTCCATACAAAATATGACGATAACGATATGCCTAAGGAGCTATCAATATTCGTGCTTCGTTCGGCCTCTGTTCATTTTTCAAAATAGTGAAACGAAAACTTTTATTGATACCGCAGTGAATATTTAGAATTTTTATCAGTATTGAGGTAAAAACTTTAATCCCCATTAACTTAATAAGTAATATCATAAATGCAAAGTACTTTTGTAGTTTATTTACTTAACTTGAACTAATTCAGTAGAATTATTTAAGATAAACTAAGAAAATACTATATATAAATCACAGAATACAGAAAGAGGTTACAAGAGTGATTATAGATCGTCCGTACGGGAACCGATGTCGCCGGTTCGCCTCCGCTACACTACCACTGACACCAAATAGATAATATCCAATCAAACAATCGAACCAATCAGCGTTCACACCCGAGAGCAACGACGCAATCAGAAACAAGTTTTGGTCAAGATATGAGCATTTGCTCACACATAACTGTGGCGCGTCTGCCCCGTCCACAAGGCCCTTCTTACCTCTTTCAGTATTCTGTAATTTAAATAATATGTGTAAAATAACAATATGAAAAAAGAATACATTTTTGAATTACTAAAATAATTATTTCACTAAGTATGATTGTAACAGGAACTGACACATTTTTGTCCGCATAATATAAAAAACCCATGGCATGCAGACAAAATCACAGTAATATAATAATTATAAAGGATAAATAAAAAAATCAGTTCCATAATACGCATGCCAGTACATACACAATGAGACGAAAAACTATTATGTATAAGTAACCGTTAGCCGTTACCTACTATATAATATAGTATCCCATATTGTTTTAAACTTTCATGGTCACTAACATTATACATATTAACTAGATTGTTACCATGTACCTGATACTGTGAGTATTGTGTGCCGGGAACAAATGTGAGTGAATAGTGAGAATGTGACCAGTGGTAGGGACGCAGTAAAAGACGACGTCAGAGGGTAGACCGATATGTCTGCCAATAACATCTACCCGCAATTACTTCATTTACTCCGTGATCATGGCGCTTGCAACAGTGCCGAAATATCGGAGACTCATAAAAAACAAGGTACATGGTAACAATCCCGTTAATATCTATAATATAGTATCCTGCTATATTAAGGCATCAAATACTATATTTCTAATATATATATATATATATATATATATGTAGTAGGCGAAACTACTATATTTTGCTTAAAGCAGAGCTTATAAATAAAAACTGAATTATTATGGTATAGAGCAGCAAAAATATACTAATTTTAAAAATAAAGTTTTTTTTGCCTTCTTTTATATTTTTAGAGGTAACAGCTTCGAAAATACTATATTTTGATAGAAAAGAAGTTGGTAACTCTACTAACCGTATAGTAATTTTGAAAAACATTCCTAGAACTAAATTGAACTTCAGTAATAAAATATGGTTCATTAAAATTCGTATTTTTTATATTTAACTGTCCAGTGGTAATTAATTTCCCAAAATCTACCTTTGTATTAATTAATTATGGTCTTTTTTATGTCACCTCTTGGTAAAATTATAATTTAATTATATAAATTATCTGATCAGAGGATTCAAAAATACTTAGAATTTGGAAAATGATTTCACTTCTTATACCTTTTTATTCCGTTTGAGCATTTCTTTAATAAAAAAGTAGGGAAATACCTAATACCTATTTCTTTCTTACTGACTTTCTTATTACACTGCAAAATTTTGAAGAATATTAAAAAATAATCCTGTTGACAATTTAAGTTAATTATTATTAAAGATTTATTTTAACTAAATAACACTCGAAGAATAATTAATAATATAATAATAAAAAATAATAAGTGCCGATTCGCCACTTTTTAATCGTTAAGAAAAAAAATGGAAAACATTAATTTTATATTATAAGTAGATTTATTTTCTATTTTATAATTTCTACCAAACCAGGGCAATTTATAGTAATTTACCACTAAATCCAACTTTGATATGAAGTAGACAATATACCTTTAGTGACAAAAGATATTACCGCCAGTTTCCCAAATTTTCATTTATAAATGGCGATTAAAATAAATATATCGGCCATAACTCGTTTCAGCGTCGCTTCGGCATTATAATTTTAGCATGAAAAAAATCTAAGCTATCACTTCGTACCATCAGCTATAACCGTTTACGAGCCGTGAAACCTTTTCTAACTGTTATTTCCTAAAATTATACCATAATGGTATAATTTTATTACGGTCGTGCAACGTACGGCGTTAATTTTCCGATTCATTTACTATATAATTGCTGCCTTAGCGATATATTGGTTGGGGTATTTGGTAACAATTTTGATGGAAAACTAGATTTGTTCTGGCCAAAAAAAAATAGGGATACAAAAGAATACTTATAAATGAATCTGTTTGTGATTATTTCGTCAAGATTGAAATATGAAAACCATAGAAATATTTCCATCAAAATTGCAAAAATGGTTTGCGATTTTCGTGGATGACTATTTATGTTTAATCTTTTCTTCAGTTTATTGCTCGTTGAACATTTACTATTTTTTATTTATTAACTCAGAATATCTGCCTTGTAAAAGTTGAAAAGGAGAAGCATTTTAATTTTTAACTTTTTGTTTGGCTTAAAATGGCCTGTTTCTTAGGGCGCATTTATATGACACACGGCGTCTGGGCGGCTGCACAGTAATGACACGCGCGTTAATTGATTACAAAAAAATTATATGTTATATCCTAAATTGAATATCTATATAATATAAATCTATAAATTTGATAACTGATAACAAACCCGCGGTGGCCACAAGAATTATTCACGGCATCTTAATTACAGAGAATTCTAATGTTGTGTCCTAATAAATAAAACATATATTTGCATGATGGAATAAAAGCCGTGCGGTGGCCGCAAGAAAATTTTCGCGCCGTCTAACTGTGGCCCTAACGTGTCACGTGTGAGCTTTCGAACTCCGCCCTAGTTTGAGTGAATTATTATTATACCAAACAAGTTTACCTAAACTACGCCGAAGGTATTGTCGGAGCTAGTCAATCTTTCAGTCGGGAGTTGTTGGTGTGTATTGTGTTCGGACAAAATCCCCCCGGTTTAGAGAAAACGTGGGGTAAGCCTGTCGTTAAAACGAATATGGCACAAAGGAGTTGGGGTTCGTTCACACGTATATTCCTCGTCAGATTTAATTTAAAACAATTTAATTAAATAATCATACAAATTTTTTTTTTTACAAAACATTAATTAGACAATATCAGTATTTCATAAAAGCTACAATTTATTCACCCTATATCAATAATAATCAATAATCAAAATCATTTATTCAGTTTAGGCTGTTACAAGCACATATGAATGTCTAGAAGCTACGCCATCGGTTCGTAAATCTACGGCGGGAGACCTTGTACTGAGAAGAACCGGCAAGAAACACAGCAAGGGCTGTTTTTTTCTCCCTGTTTTATCATTTACAGTGTCGTCAAGTTGAAAAATGACTTCAGAGATAATTCATGAAGTCACCTTTCATAATGTGAAATTAAATATCAAGCAAAACTAAGAGTCTGTTGGGGGAATTTGACAGTGTTGGATAATTTGACTTTACGAGTACCTACTAGCAGTTTATTGGAAAAGTATTCATATATAAAAAATAAACCTTTCTTGTTTTTACCGCACACGTAATATGTGCTTCATTAAAAATAAATAAAAGAAAGCGACTTATGACTTAGTTTGGACTCCAAATATTATTATTAAATTTTGCATTACGGCTTAGAATAAATGCCTCCGCTACACGAATATCGAACCGAATACAATCGTAGGCTCGGGTCTTGCTTTGTTAGAACCGCATCGATTCACTTTCGCAGATTTATTTATAATATGTGATATTCTTTCGGTGTGACATGTAAAACTACAAATGTTATTATAGTTTAACTGCAGCTCCATCATAACGTCAGTTTTTATGTCTCATTATTCTCATACACCAACAGGCCCGTTTAAATTTCCTAAAGCCAGTCGACTGGTAAATATTCAATGCTCTCTTGCCGCTACGCCATGGTAAAGTCTCTGCTTCATTAGTAGTGGAAATCCAACCACGAATCAGAAAATGGAGCAATGTGGTTATGCAATCACAACATTCAGTATGTTAAAGAGACTAGCGCCGTATTTAATAACCGTTGCAGAAATTTAGTACTTATTTTGGTTTTTTGTAGGAAAAATTTATCGAGTAATTACATTATACTTTTCATCTACTTAGTCGATATATTTTTTTATTTTTGCTCTGCTGAAACATCAACACTCTGTTTCAGCACGTGTCG